GGCACGTGATGGCAAAAAGGTTAGCCATCACTGCCCTAAACCATTTCTGACAAATGGCAGTCCAATCTCTTCTTGAAAGTCTCAAGTGATGAAGCTCCCACAACTTCCGAAGGCCACTTCTGTTCCATTGGTTAATTGTTCTCACTGTCAGAAAATTCCTCCTCATTTCTATGTTCTATGTGAATCTCTCCTTGGTCAGTTTCCATCCATTATTCCTTGTTTGGCCTTCAGGTTCTTTGTAAAACAGCTTGACCCCTTCCTCTCTGTGGCAGCCCCTCAACTGGGAAGACAGCTATCATGTCTCCCCTGGTCCTTCTCTTCATTAGACTAGCTATGGCCAGTTCTTGTAACCGTTCTTCATATGTTTTAGTCTCCAGTCCCCTAAACATTTTGGTTGCTCTTCTCTGCACTTTTTCTAGAGTCTCAACATCTTTTTTATAGTGTGGGGACCAAAACTGGATGCAGTACTCTAAGTGTGGCCTTACTAGGGCTTTATAGAGTGGTATTAGTACCATCACTTGATCTTGATTGTATCCCTCTGTTAATGCAAGTTAGGATTGCGTTGGCTTTTTTAGCTGCTGCTGCACACGGCTGGCTCCTATTTAGCTGATTGTCCACTAAGACTCCAAGATCCCTCTCACAGTCACTGCTATTAAGCCTGGTTTCCCCCAGTTTATATGTGTACTTTTGTTTTTTCTTGCCTAAGTGTAGGACTTTACTTTTCTCTATATTGAATTTCATTTCATATTTATTTCTTTGAATTCATATTTATTTCATTGAATCTTATCTCATTCTGTGGCAACACATTATTTCTGGAGAACCTCCTGGGCTCCCAATGGGAACCTCTGACTTAAGCAATTCTTAAGTGAGGATGCTTGAAAGATTTTTCAGTTTCCAAAGGAATAAAATTTCCCTCGAAAAGCCGAATTGCAAAAAATGCAGCTGAAATCTTTGATTTGCACAATGTTTGGCCTCTGAAACCCCATCAGTTAAGAGAAATATAAAAAATTATTATTACACAGAGAATGTAAATTACAAAAACAAATCTAGGTAATTTTGCAAGGAATCTGGAACAGAGAATTAAACAATTCCTGGCTTCAGGGCTGAAGTGTGTTTCTTATGACTCAAAATTCAGTTTTAATGTTTGTGGGGTTTTTGGACTCTTCCCCCCAAATCAGGAGCCACCCCAGGTAGGAAGAGGGAAGCGAATTGGCTGCAGGGGAAGCTGAGTCTGTGACCAAAAAGGGGGCTTCAAGGGGGGCTTTTCTCCCGGACCCCAAAAATTGGCTGAATGAAAATTCTCAGCCTCTGAATCAACTTCTGCTCAAGGCAGAGGAAATGCCAGACCAGGATCTTGGTTTAAGCATTGAATTGTGATTATAAATTCTATCTGGATTTGTTTGTTTGTTTGCATTTATTTTATGGTTTATTTATTATGTTATTATTTAGTTTATTATTTATTCTATTATTATTTAGTTTATTAATTTAGTTCATTACTTTATTATATAGTTAACTATTTATTTTATTATTTATTTTATTTTTAAATTAATTAATTAATTTACTTATTTAATTCTGATTTATTTTATTTGTTCATTTAATTTTATTTATTTATTTATTTATTTATTTATTTTACTTACTTATTGGATTTAAAAGCTGCTGGAGTGCAAATGACTCAGAATAAAGAATAGAAAGAACTGAAACCTGCAGAAAAGGACACAACAATTGCTTTTATGGATTCCCTTTTCCAGGCCTTTGGAAGTGCAGTTTTTATCCTCAAATCCCAAAGCCCTCAGAGGGGAAGGGAGCCCCCCCCCAATCCTGGCCTTCTGGAACGGGGTCCAAATGGGGCTCTGGGGCTTTGTTTGGGGAAGGGGGCAGAAAAGAGGAGGCAGCAATGGGGTTGGTCAGAGCCCTGAACCCCCCCTTTAATTAATCATTTAATCTTTTAATTAATTTTTGCCACTGAATTTTAATCATCTTTGCCTTTTAAATCTTAATTTTTATATACTATTTTTGCGGTTTGATGTTTTATCTGTACTGCCCCCCAGAATCCCTCTGGGAGTTTTTTAAAGTTGATGAATAAATAAATGGCATCTATATACCCATTGCTGGACATGAAATCCTACTTGGGTGGATCTCTTGGTGGGATCCATGGGATTCCAGATTCTGGGCAGGAGAAGACTTTGGAGCTTGGGAGGAAAAGGAAGAGTTCTGGGAATGATGCTCGGAGGAAGAATTTGACAGCGGAGAATAAAAAAGGACTAAATCATCCCGGGAGAGTCTTAATAAAGGAAAGGAAAAGGGGGTCCCAGGATCCCCTCCCCAACTCACCTCTCCGGCCAACCATCGGCCCCCTCTGGGCCACCTTGTAGTTGTTCCGGCAGAAGGAATTCACAGTGGCCTTCTTGTACTGCAGGTAGACCTTATTCCTGTTCCATCCATCCGCATCCCTCTTCCCAAACTCCGTGACGGCCAGGAACTCCCCGCGGTCGCTGTCAAAGCGGGCGATCTCCTGCCGGTCGTAAATGAACCTGTCCAGGAGTCACACCTGCTGCGTCCCGTTCAGGAAGTGGCATTTGGCCTTCTGCTGGAGCAAGAAATGGTCTGTGGGGAGGAGGAGGAAGGCCGTCAGGAAGGGACTCCAGGGCCCACCGTTCCCAGCCGTTGGTAGAAGAGAAGGGACCCCCGTGGGAAGGGAGAGGGGTGGGACACCTTCCGTGAGACACTCATTGCCAGACGCCCCCTGGAGGAAGGGGAACTTTGGGGGTCCCAGGGGGACTGGAACATGCTGGGGGGTCCGCAGACAGGATGAAAAGAGATGAAAGATGGGGGGGCTTTCCTGCTGTGCCCCCCTCCTTCCTCCCAGGGTGGACAAAGGCAGGAAGAAGTTCAACTGGTCCAGCAGACCTTCTCCAGCCGGCAACTTTGGATCCTGAGGGGGCTTCTTTGTGCCCCCCAAAAGCGGCAGGAAGGATGGGGGGGAGGAGTGAAGAGACCACCAGAAACACTGGCCTGAAGGTGATTCTTTTATGCTGTTTTATATTTTTAATTTATATACTAAAATATATTATATATATTAAAGTATTTTAATATATTTTGTTTTCAGTTATAACCTGTAAGCCACCTTATAGGGGAGATTTCACAGAACAGAATAACGGAAGGGACCCTGGAGGTCTTCTAGTCCAACCCCTTGCTCAAGCAGGAAACCCTTCAGACCATTTCAGACAAGATGGGCACCACAAAAACATAAATAAAACAAATACCTTATGCCTCCGTCTCTCTCTTCTTTTGGGGGGGATATGGGGAGGGGGAACAATGGGGGCACCTGGACTGATTCTACTGGGGCCTCCCAGCCCCTCCCTCCCCTCAACCCCCACCTTCCCTGGTTACCCCCAACTTTTCTTCTTCTTCAGCCCTTCTAGGATTTGGAGTAGAATCGGGGGCCTCTCTTCTCCCCTCCCAAAACAGCCCCCCAAAGACCATCTCAAATGGAGGTTCTCCACCCCTCCTTCACAATAGGGATAAATTTGGGGAGCCAATTGAGGGGAGCAACTGAGAACTTCCCACCCCTCCTTCATCCGCCCTGTGGCTCTCCCCACCCAGATCCTAATTGGGCAATGGGGGATTATGGGGGGGGTGTCTTGGTCTCCTCCCGAAATCCAGAGGTTCCCCTAGAAGGGATCGAGGCTCAAATCCTGCCTGACTTTTACGGGGGAGAGGTGGGGACTGAAGTTTTTGAAGCTGCAGAAGTTCTTTTTTCTTATATTTTTGGTGGCATTTGTGGATTCAGGTCTGAAAAAGTCCCAGTTTCCCGCTTTCGCTTTCGCTTTCGAACGCCTTCCTCTTTCGATGCAGGAAACTGCGGAGGCTCCGTATTCAAGTCCAATTCGGGGCCCGGAAGCTCCCACTCCCACCAAGTCACGGGAGGGGGGAGGGGGGTCCGACTGCGTCTTATCTCATTCGGCTGCCTTCCCACGACCCCCTCCCCACCACAATCACAACGATGGGAGGCGGCAATCCCCCTTCGTCCCTCTGGGCGAAGTGGGGCGAGGCAGGGAGTGGGGACCACGCGGAGATCGAGGCTTCTCAGGTTCCCGCCTCTTTAGCTTTTGAGCCCTTTCCCCATTACTGGGGTCTCTCAACCCCTATCTTCTCCCTCTTTCCCCAGGAGCACTGACTTACCGGGGGTCTCCTTCCCCCCTTCGCTTCCGGGGATCCGGGCCAGCGCCCCCACCAGCAGTATCAGGGGGAGCCCAGGAAAAGCCATGGATGCTGCCCCACAAGCGCCCCAAAGAGAAAGACGCGGACGCCCCCAGCCCCAGAGGCGGAATCGAGGGGTCTGAACTGGGGGGAGGAAGCGTTTTTCTCGCACTTCGGTATTGGGAGGGCCCAGAAAAGCGGGAGGACCAATGAGAATTCCCCCTTCAGCAGCCTCATCGGTCTCCGGGCAGAATCTCCCTTGACTTCATCCACAAGAGAAGATAGTTCCGAGCGCAGAGAAAGTGGGAGGGGGGGGTCCCTACAGGCTGGGGGGGGAGGCGCAGCTCAAGGGGGGGTTTCATGCCAGCCCTGGAGGGGCGTGTGGGCTTCCTTTTGCTCTCCCCCCACCGATCCGGCGTGGAGTGGGGCGCCAGTGGACGAGAAAAGGGGAGCCCGCGTCCCTCTTCTCATGGGCTCTTGGATGACGTAGTCACTGGATGGTGCCGATCTTAGAGAGCCAGGAAGACCAGCCACGCCGGAGATCTGAGCGACAATTGGAGCTTAAGGCTCTTTCTGGTTCTTTTTAACCCTTTTTGCTGATCCATCACAGGCATCATCCACAGCATCCCAATGTAACTACATCCCAATGTAGTTTAGCCCCCCGCCCCCCGAAAGCCCTAATAAGCAGGTATATACATAAAAGTATGCAGGCTATTGCTATAATGCATTGTAAGCCGCCCTGAGTCTACGGAGAAGGGCGGCATATAAATTGGACTAATAAATAAATTGGGACTAATAAATAAACTCCTCCCAAAACTTGTTTACTTGGTGGGTTATTCATTTACAAGTTATAAGAAAAAAATTATAATGAATTTCTTGCCCAATTATTCCTGCCCTACGCAAATAACAACAGAAAATGCAACTACTACAAAATATTTATCCCAAAGCAAAGACAATAATATTGGCTAAAATCTGGGTACAGTAGAACCGCTGGTCACGACCAAATTCATTCCGTAGCTGTTTGCAACCCGATTTGGTCGTCACCCGAACCTAATTTTGGATATTTGGTGCTTACAAATAAAAAAGGCACGGAAGAGGAAATCGACCACAGGAAAAAAAAATTGTGAATTTTTTTGGTCAGAACCCAATTTGGTTGTGGTCGGAAGCATTTGTGACCAGAGCTTCTACTGGACAGTGCATTGTATGAGGAAGGGAAAGAAATTCTGGCTGTGTGTGTGTTGTTGCTGCTGCTTCAAAATGGGAACACTCTTAAGTAAAAAGTGTTCTCCCACCCTGGCCTATACCCTATGCGCTCCTTAAAGAAGATCCTTTCCAGATTCCTTGCTCCAGAGCAAGCCTCACCAACCTTTCGGACCTCAGGGACCACTAACTTCATAATTTTAAATCCCATGGATCACTAATATGATCTGCCTAATGACTGGCTAGATGGGCATGGCTAGGTGGTCATGTGACTGGGTAGGTGTGGTCAACTCAATGTCACTCACGTTGAGGGGCACCTCGCTGGCCGCTTCTCATCCCTCTCCTCCCAGCCCCTCTTTGCCTGCCTGCCCAGGCTCCTTACTGCCCCAACAGGAAGCAGTTGTTAGAGCTAAGCAGCCACCATGAGAGAGTTGGCTAAACAGCTGGCTCAATTCAAATTGGATCTGACCGAGGCGGCTCAGCAGAAGCACCTCACTGAGGACTATGAGCATAGGCTTTCCAAGCAGAGGGAAGACCTGCGGGAGTGCGAGGCCAGTTACCGGCCCACGGAGGCTCAGCAGGCTGAGATGGTCAGCCAGTTCTAGGCCATGATGCAGTCCCACTGGAACATGGCCCTCTGGCTCTTCACCACCAGTGGCACTTCCCTCCAGCCTTCACTCCAAAGCCACACATCTAGAGGCTGAAGCAGACCCCAAGTCAGAATTTCTGCCCTCCTATGACCTGCACAAAAAGGGGGAGACTCTGCAGCAACACAAGCATTCATTGCATGTATCCAGCCCATGGGCCGTAATTTGAGAACCCCCGATTTAGTGCAATATAAACAATGCAGATAAATTTTCTGCAGACCACCACAATTTTCTCACGGACCACCAGTGGGTCCATGGACCACCAGTTGGTGACCGCTGCTCCAGAGCACACACTTTTCTTTACATACAGGAACAATCCCACTCCTTCAGTTTGAACATAGATTTCTTTTTTTCCTTCCAGCATTTATAGAAAGCTGAGCATCTTTGAAGGTCTACCACATCGCCTTCAATATATTCTTCTGCAGAATTTCCTGACCTTCCCTTGTTCATGGCCTTGGATCTAATCCACTCTTCTGAAGCTCAGCGTGAAAACACTGGTTCTTTTCCATTCTTCCTCCTCTTGGTATCAAGAACTCGAGAAATATGGTCGCTTCCCCCCAGAATCCATCCATCTTCACTTCTAGCTGTCTCTCTATTGGTAAGCATTGGATTGAGAGCAGATCCCTTTATCCCTTTTCTGAAGTCGTCAACCAGAGAGGAGGAACCTTCTGACTCTCAACAGAATTAGAATTCCACCAGATGTCAGAGTGGCTGAAATCATCTCAATTGCTATGAGGTGCCTCTTATAAACTTTGGAGACCTGACACCAGAAGTCCTTGCCCAGATATTCTGCCTCCCAGATGGTCTATTGAGAATTATCACTTCCATTTCTTTGATTTTACTTTTGCCCACTCTTTAACAGAATTCACGTTTTCATCAGTGAACCTGTGTGCAGGCCAGTGGTGGGTTGCTACCGGTTCGGTTCTTGTGAACCAATAGAAACGGCAGCAGGAGGCTCCGCCCACCCACCCGGACGCCATCAAATACGATCTGCGTATATGCAGAAGCTTCTGAGCATGCACAGAAGCGCACACTCCCGTTGCGAACTGGTAGTGAAAGTAGAACCTACCCCTGGCGCAAGCATATTCCTTCAATGTACAGTGTAAGATTCACTTTTGCTGACATTATTTCCTAAGTTGCTGTCTTCCAAAACTATATGCCAATCATAGTTGTCATCCCACCAAGTTTTAGTGATGCCAGTGACCAACTTATTTGCCTTTCTGTATTAGAATATTAAGTTCACACTGCTTGTTTCTCATGCAGATAGTCTTCAATGTATAATCATTTGTTTATCAATGGTTTAAAGTTATAAGGGCACTGAAAAAATGTGATTTACAACACTGGTCCTCATATTTAGAGTCATCAGCATCCTCATAGTCACAGAATCAAACTCTGGGCACTTGGCAAGCAGCAAGTATTCATGGCAGCTACAGTATCCTGGGGACATCAGTTCACCAGCTTCTGACAAGCAAAGATAATGGGGGAAGCCAGGATTCACTTAAAAACCACATTTCACTCAACAACTGTTTTTTTTTTTTAGGGTGGCAAAAAAAAGTTGTAAAATTGGGCACAACTCATTTAACAACTGCCTTGCTTAGCAATGGAAATTCTGATCCCAGGTGTGGTCATAAATTGAGGATTACCTGAATTCTGTATGTTGGGTGTCAAAACAACTGAGATTGAGAACATCATAAACACAAAGCATAAACTAAATCACTGTATTATTATTATTTTTTGGGGGGTGCAACAGTGTTGACACATTAATATGGCAAAAGCCCATTCAAAGCCGATTCCTCTTATATAAACTGCCCACCCCTATTGTTAGAAATCTTCCCCCACCCAGTAAATTCATTCTCTCTTGTGACTGTAGGTTTCAGGTTTTGGCAAAAATCAGGCTTAGGGCAGCCAGGATTCATGACTCAGATTTTGTTGTTATTGTTGTTGATACCAAGACGACAAGGTGTGCATAAAAAGAACCAGGTAAGTCTAGTTTAGGCAATCCCACTAGAGGGGATGTTTGCATAGGAGGGAAGCTGCCTGCTTCACTGAAGCTCTCCCTGCAATCCACACGTGTATGTCTGAATCCTTTATGTGAAGCAAGGGTGCTGCTCTTGCTAAACGTCCACTCATTCCTATGGCTTCTCCCCCATGTGGATCCTTTTATGGGACATGAGTTCACTGCTCCTCTTGAAGGTCTTCCCACATTCCATGCATTGATATGGTTTCTCTCCTGTATGGATGTTTTTATGGGAAAGGAGGTGGCTGCTTTGACGGAAGCTTTTTCCACACACTGCACACTTAAATGGCTTTTCCCCTGTGTGGATTCTCCTATGGCAGGTAAGCTGGCTGTTCCTTCTGAAGCTCTTTCCACATTTCATACATTTATATGGTCTCTCGCCTAAGTGGATCGTTTTATGGGAAGTAAGTTCACTATTTTCCCCAAAACTTTTCCCACACTCTACGCATTTATATGGATTCTCACCGGAATGAATCCTTTTGTGGGACGTAAGCTGAGAACTCCAAGAGAAGCTTTTTCCACACTCCATACATATATATGGTCTCTCTCTCGGGTGGATTTTCCTATGGGAAGTGAGCTCAGTGCTGCTCCTGAAGGCTTTTCCACATCCCAAGCATTTGTGTAATTCTTCTAATGTGTGGATCCTTTTATGGGAAGAAAGCTCACGGCTGCCTCTGAAGCTCTTCCCACATTCTATGCATTTATATGGCTTCTCTCCTGTGTGGATCATTTTATGGGAAGCCAGCTGATAGCTCCAGAAGAAGTTTTTCCCACACTCCATACACTTGTATAGTTTCTCTCCCGAATGGAGTCTTTTATGGTAAGCAAGCTGGCTGTTTCTTCTGAAGGTCCTCCCACATTCTATGCATTTATAAGGTTTTTCTCCTGTGTGGACCCTCCTGTGGGAGGTCAGCTCACTGCTTCCCCTGAAATCCCTTCCGCACTCCAGGCATTTATAAGGCCTCTCCCCGGTGTGGATCCTTCTGTGGGAAGTCAGTTCGCTGCTCCTCCTGAAGCTCTTCCCACACTCCAGACATTTATAGGGTTTCTCTCCTGTGTGGATCATTTTGTGGGAAGTGAGCTGGTAGCTCCATAGGAAGTTCTTCCCACACTCCATGCACTTGTACGGTTTTTCTCCCGCATGGAGTCTTTTATGGTAAGCAAGCTGACTGTTCCTCCTGAAGCTCCTCCCACATTCAGAGCACTTATAAAGTTTTTCCCCTGTGTGGATCCTTTTATGGCAAGTCAGGTCATTGCTCCAGCTGAAGCTCTTCCCACACTCCAGGCATTTATAGGGTTTCTCCCCTGTGTGGATCCTCCTATGGGAAGTAACCTGGCTGCTGCTCCTGAAGTTCTTCCCACACTCCCTACATTTGTAGGGTTTCTCCCCCATGTTGATTCTATCACGCAAAGAAAGAATGAAAGTCCAGCTGTAACTTTTTTCACCTTCCCTGTTCTGATCCTCTTCTTCTTTAGTGGGGGTTTGATCATGTTCATTTAAATCTAATTTTTCTCTGAACGTTTTCACACTTTTCCCAAAACACTTTGTCCTTTTTCCTTTGGAAAGGTGCAGGGCTGCTCTGTCTTGAAATTCATCACACTGAAAAGCAGAAAACTTTCTGCTTCCATACTTTGACTGGTTTCTCTCGTGACTTTTTAGTTCCGTTTGGTCTCTTCCTTCTTTGCGTCTGAGAGCTTCTAATATTTGCCTATAGCACGTGTTCTCTTGCCCAACAGTATCTTCGGAGAAAAAGAAAAGTGTGTGTTTAAACTAACAGAAGGGAAAAAAAATCATCAAAAACATGATTGAGAATCCCAATTCTGCAAGTCCCCAAAACCTCTGTAATATTTTTATAGGCTATTCTGACCTACCTAAAAAAATCTGACTTAAAGCTTATCAAATTTATCAGTCAAGAAAAGATCCTGAGTGGCAAGTAGAGCTCTGCACAGCAAAGACAGTAACCCAGGGCTGTCAAACTCCCGGCCCTCCACGCCCATGCCCAGAATAGTGAAGGGGGGAAAAGTCCCGATATGTCATGTGACGCTGCTGTGACGCCATGAGTTTGACACCCCTGTAGTAACCCCCTAGAAAAAAGTATTCCTTTGATCTATTAAAAACACTATGTCCATATAGTCCAGCCCCATAACCTCAATTACGCCTGACTTCACTAGGCATATGATTTGCTGCATCCAGTTTGCTCTGTCCAATCACAAGGATTAGTTTCAATTGTCAACAAAGGGAGGCTGTAGCCCGTCCCCTTTATAGCCCTGTCTCTGCCTCCACCACTGTCCCTCAACTACTCTGTACTTCAATGTAAAGTGTCTTGGAACCAGTAGAGGAGAATTTTTGTAGAATGGATCTTCTCCTTCTCCCAGATAGGAGGTATGGTTGGGTTTATGCCAAAGAGCAGGTTCTACAAAATGCCTTTTCTACATGCCTGTGCCCTTACCCACAGAGGCCACATTCCTCAGGTTCTCCCTCATGACTTCCCCATGGAGGGCTTTTTGGCGGGGATCCAGCTGAGTCCACTCTTCCTTGGAGAAACACACAGCCACCTCCTCAAAAGATACAAGACCCTGGGAAAGAAAAGAAAAAAACCTTTTCTCCATTAGTAGTCCAGGATGGCTTTGCAACTCATACTCTTTGTTCAACAAATTCCCCAAGTAAAGATTGGGTCTTTATTGTCTAAGAGAAAAGAATATACGTAGTTTGATGTTGAGCTGAGTTTGGTGGTTTGATAGCAATCATTTCATTACCTGGCTCATCAACATGAGTCTGAGGTTTTCTCTCTGTTTTTATACAGTAGCTTGTCCTGCCAGTGTTGGATGGTGGAGGGGGATGATTTTTTTAATAGCTCCTGGATTACAGTATTATTTTCTGATTATTTGTCTGGTATGATTTATTAACCCAAATTATAAAACTTTACTATTAAAGTGAATATGGGCAGTTTACAGATAACTATGCAATCCATACAAAAAAAGACAAGATTAAAGAGTTAGAAAGAGGGAGGGAACACCCTTCAGCCACCAACCACCCCCAGGATTGTGTACTACTCTTGGATCTCTGTGCCAGTTGATAAGAGCATGACTTGAAAGGGATCTCTTAATAAATTCTGCCACATGCCATTTCAGGCTGCTTTAAAGAGCAGTAACGCTGTTGAGTCCCAGAGGGAGAAAGGACTTCAAGTGATCTCCTAAATGTTTCTCTCCTACCTGAACTGGAGGTTCAGCCACTCTTTCAGTTCCACCAGGAAAAGGTGATGATCCTAGAAACAACAAAGATATACTTTGATTTCCTGCATGGGACCTACATAGAGCTAAACTCAAGACAATGTAGGAGCATTGAGACATTTCTTGAGAATGTCAGGTCCCTTGGAAAGGCTCCCTTTACCTTCTGAGGTGTCCCAATTTGGATCTTCTTGAGGGATCCCCCTGAAAGGCAGCTCTTGAGACACCTCTGACAGATCCTTCCTCCGTTTAGGATGCCTGGGGATGGTCTCCAGAAAGGACTGCTGCACCTGACGTACCTGGATACGGAAAAGAAAAATAAAGGTTCTGATAAAATCTCTCAACTCTGAAGACTCCGTTGCCCCTTGATGCAGATGGAACAATAGAGCAAGTGCCCCAAATACATATTCTGGGAGGGAGGGGGGGAGAATGGAGAAAATGCTCAATTCAATGATACTCTTGATTAATGCATAGCTTTGGAGAGAATGTTCTCTCACCTGCAGCTCTTCCTGCTGCTGCTTCTCTGCCTGGCTCAACAGGAAGCCTTCGGCCAGGGCCACCGCCTGGGCGCTGGTCTCCGCACCACACTCCCGTACCCAGTTGGCCATCTCTGCAGGAAGCACGGCCAGCAGCTGCTCCAGGATCACCAGGTCCAGCATTTGCGCCTTGGTCTTCTTCTCTGGCTGCAGCCAATCCCGGCAGAGCTGATGGAGACGGCTGCACATTTCCCGCGGGTTCTTGCCCCACATGTCCAAGGGCAGGAGGCCAACCTTCTCCCTGGTGGTTTCCCGCAAAGCATCCCGCAGCTCCTCCACCTTCTCCCAGAGGGCTTCCTTCAGGGAGGAGTTCTGCAGGGCGCTCCTCAGGGAATCCACCCGGGCCAGCAGCTCCTCTGCCTGCTTCAGCGTCTCAGACCAGAAGGCCAGTGCCTGTGTCTCCAGGGCCGCCGCTTTCTCCCACAGGAGATGGGCCTCCTTCACAGGTGCCTCCTGGCCAGCTCTACGGAGGGCCGCCTCACCTTGCCCCAGCGGCACCTGCTGGAGGGTTTGGCGAAAGGTTTTGGCTTCTCTCCGGGCCTCCTCGGCCTCCTCCAGTGGGCCGGCCCACAACCCCTTCTCCAGGCAGGCCACCTCCCAGCAGTCCGTCTTCCGCAGCAGCGCCTCCGCCTTTTCCAGCATCGGCTGCAGTCCTTCCAGTGTCGCCTCCCGCAGGCCAGTCCGCAGCCCCTCCAGCTCCCTCCGCAGCGCCTCAGAGCTCTCGGCCCAGCCTTCTTCCTCCAGGGCCTCCCGCAAGGCCAGCAGCTGCCGAGCCCGGGCGCGCCCTTCCTTCCGCACCGCCCGGCCCAGCTCCCGCAGGCTCTCCCAAAGCCGGTCGTCCAAGAACGCCGCCAGGGCCACCTCCAGCTTCCGCGCAGCGCGCACCGGCCGCCCCCGGCCCTCGGCCGCCTCCAGCTCCGCCACCACGCCCAGCAGAGCCTCCCGCAGAGCCGCCACCTTCTCCACCGAAGTCGTCGCTGCAGCTGCTGGCTCGGCCGGCATCGGCGGGCTCGGCGACTCTTTGTCCTCGATCGGCGCCGCCTCCTTCGCCAGGGCCGGCGCCGCCGCAGATCCTTCGCTTCCCGCGTCAGGCGCGGCCGCTCCACTCGTACCGACGCCGGGCTTTCTCCGCCGGGCCCGCCGGGCTGCCTCGCGCTCCCCGCGCGCCTGGAACCAGCGGAGCAGCGCCATCTCCAGCCTCAAGAAGCCCTGGAGCCGCTGCTGCTCCGCCTCCGAGAGCGCCGCGTCCCGGGCCAGCAGGGCGTCCCTGCCTCGCCGGGCCTCGCTCAGCTGCGCCCGGAACCGCTGGAGGTTCGGCTTGCCCAGGTTGACCTCCCAGCGCCACCGCGCCCGCACCGGCTCCGAGACCCGCTGCGCCAGCAGAGCCTCCACCTCGGCCAGCCGCTCCGGGGAAACCTCCGCCGCCGCCGCCATCGCCAATACTGCTGCGCGCCCCTCCCCCCTACCCCGAAGCCGCTCCGGCCGCGAGCGCGCGCACGGCAAACACCCCCCCCCCACCGTTGGCGAGGAAGGCGGGGCGGAGCAACTCTGAGTCCCGCCCCTCCGCCGATTTGGCGCGCTGCCCTTCCGGCTCCCCCCTCCCAACAGCCGCTTTCTGGGACTTCAACTCCCAGAATTCCCTTCTCAGCTTCTCGCTCCCCCTCCGGAGTCTTCTGAACGCGCCAACCCGCGAATAAAAGGCCTCTGTCGGTTCTTTTCGGCGGCGGCGCTCTTTGACGCCCTGTTCCCGCAACTAAGGCTACGCAGGAATCTTCTACACTCCTCGGCTGTCAAAAAAGTCAAGATGGCGATTCAAACGGTGTCATTTTGGCTTTCTTGATCTCATCAGCGCACCTTGAGAAAACGACTAAGCAAAGTAATAATCCGAAATAAAAAAGTATTTTTTTTTTTATTTATGTGGTTTCGGCCTCATCTCGAGTCGGTTTGGGTGATTCCCCTCACGGGGCATCCATCCGTCCCCTTCCCGCCCGTTTCTTCTTCGGCCCAATTTTACCTCACGAAAGGATTCAGTCTTATTCGGCCTCCCCTTCTCAAATTACCGTTTGAGGTAATCTCTCACTATGATATGCTGAGGTAACCCGGGGTAAAAAAAAAAAAATAGCAGGTAATCATACAGACCAGATAATATGGCATTATACGTACAATACATACGCCACATATGAGGTAACTTTAAAGTTGATAAAAACGAGGTATTATCAGCTTGAGGTGGCCAAAGAGGTGGAAAACAGGGAATAGCCGAGTTAAACTCGAAGCCAGGAATCAAATTAGCTTTTATCTCGTAATTTAAGGATTCCCTCTTAATAATAAGAACCGTTATCCGCTTTTTATCCGCTAATTCACACACCTTCACCCCGTCAACCTTCCCGCCCTCTCGCTTCAGCCGCGCCTGGCACCGGTATATATAGTGGGAGGCGGGGCCTCGTCGCGCTGCGCTGATTGGCAGCTCTCCAATCCAATCGTTACCTGAGGATGGCAGCCTCTCTGCCTGAACGACTTTAAGATGGGTGGAGTCCAATTCCCATGTCTGACAGGGAAATTTCCCCCTCACCCTTAAATCCCCTCAGGTGGAGAAAGGCGTTTCTAGACCTCTTGAAGGAGGCGGAACCTGGAATGAGCAAGATTTTGCCTGATCAGGAGAAAAGATTGCTGAACCCCCCCCCTCCCAAGAGTTGTTGAATGGGGGAGCAGAGTCCAAAAGGGCAGGGCACGGAAGATGGAGGGAAGGCCAGTTTCAGTTGCAGAGCCAGAGGCTCTTCTCAAACGTGCCTCAGTATCATGGACTCTAAACTACCAGGTGTCCTCTTCAGGGGGGGCGCTGTAAAAGCCCTGAAAATAGAAAAATAAATGAAAAAGGGTTCCTGCATACTCAATTCCCCACTACTGAAAGTTGGCAAGCATGCCCAGAGATGCTTAATCCATCCTAATCCCGCAAGGACCACAAGGCTAAAAGAGACATAATTTCATAAAACAAAATGTTTATTTTAAATATTTCAGGGGACCCAAGGGGCTTGGCCATGCACTCAAGAGATCAATCCAATTTGAAGCTGTCCTCGTTTTCCGCACGTGCCTTTTTTCCCAACAAATCCAATGATACTTTCATCAATCTTTTTTTTTTCAGTTTAACATTTTTATTGAGTTATAAGATAAAATAAGATACCAAATACAAAAGTAACTAGGAATACAGTGGGGAGGGAAGAAGAAGAGGAGAAGTGAGGAAGGGTTGGGAAAAAAGAAAAACTGACTACCGACTCCCTCTGTTGCAGTAAAATAAAGCATTAACATCAAATCACAACTTTTTATTTTTCATAATAATATAAACAAGCCATTCCTATAATGATCGTTCAGTCTAATCAGTGTAACCCAAAATCAAACTTTCATTCTTTTCCACTTCAAGCACGAAGTGCAGAAACGGCGTCCGTGTGGAAACAAAAGTACTTATATTCTTTTCTTTAATCAAAATAGTCAATTTTGCCATTTCAGCCAACTCCATCAACTTCTGCAACCATTCATCCATGGGAAAAATTGAAGTGTCCTTCCATTCTTTGTGCATACAAAAGTCTTGCTGCTGTCAACATATATAGTAACAGTTTTTGGGTTTTTTTGAGACTTCCATCAATCTTGTGATAACCCCTTTGGGTTGTCACAATTCTTGATGATGCGATACAATTGTTATCATAACATTGGCTGATTTGAAGGGCTGTCAGGGGCCAGACGGAGTGGATTTATTCCCCGTCTTCCCCAAGGGAAAAAGAGTGTGTGTGTACTATAGACCACCTGAGATCTGGGGGGGGGGGGCACCTTGCATTGGATTCAGAGACCAAAGAATCTGTCCTTGGATCCAGAGCCCCCCCCCCAGCAGAGCCCATGGGGGCTTGGAAAACATTTTATAGAAGGAGAACCTTATTAGCAGAGGTAGTCCTCGACTTACAACATCGGTTAAAGAGAGACTTATGGCCATTTTTCACATTGATGCTGCAGCTTCCCCATGGTCACGTGATCAAAATTCAGACCGTTGCTAACTGACTCACATTTATGACGGCCACAGTGTCCCCAGGGTCAGTGGCGACCTTCTGACAAGCAAAGTCAACAGGGAAGCCAGATTCACTTAACAGCCGGGTTACTCACCGAAGAACTGCAGGGATTCACTTAACTACGGTGGCAAGAAAAGTCGCAAAATGGGCCAAACTCACCTGTCTCACTTAGCAACATGAATTTTGGGCTCAATTGTAATTGTAAGCTGAAGGCTACCTGTACTCCGGTAACCACAAATCAGAGGGAGGCCGATAGTGGAATGAGGGGGAGTCCCTCTCCATCCTTCTGAGGGAGGGGGGGAAGAAGGGGGGAGACCACGTGGGGATCAACACCTCCGTAGGTAACCGGATCTCGCAAGATTGCAACAGCGAGATCAACGGCCCCAGGCCTGCCGGAAAAGCCAGGTCTTCACCGCTTTCCAGAAGGCCAATAGGGTGGGGGTGGTCCGGATCTCAGGAGGTAACTGGTTCCAGAGAGCTGGAGCAGGAGGGAGAGGGGTTGGGGGAGGTCATCTTACACCTTGCAGGTTATTCACCTGGTTTGGCAGCATGAAAGAGGCATGTCGTCTCACTTATCCGCCATCGGCCTCATTAAAAGGTTATCCGAGTCATTAAAATGGTACAAACGAGGGTGGGATGGTGAATGTCTCAACTACACTCTTGGGTTTTTTGGACCCAAAGCGGGAGAGGCAGGGGGTCCTGGGGGCTTCCTGGGGATGCTGCCCTGGTGGGGGAAGGGTATTAAGTGCCCTTCTGCCACTTGGGTACCTGGAAGTGAAGGTGGGAAACTCAGGAGAAAGAGAGAAGTTGAATATCCTGGGAATGGAGGTCAGGAAAATGTGTGTTGGTTAGAGGGAGGGAGGGAGAATTGTAGAGATCGTGGAAAAGAGAAAGAAGAGAAAGAGCTTGGATGAAGGAGGCAGTGGAAGCCAGAAGGGTTTGCCAGACAGAGAGAAAAATATTTACTTACTTATGTATTTATTATTTTATTATTTATTAGTCCCATTTATATGCCGCCCTTCTCCGTAGACTCAGGGTGGCTTACAATGCATTATAGCAATAGCCTGCATACTTTTTTGTATATACCTGCTTATTAGGGCTTTTGGGCCCCCCTAAGCGGTGTTGTTCTATACAAAGCTGGCTTATTGCCCCCACAATCCGGGTCCTCAATTTACCTACCTCAAAAGGAAGGCTGAGTCAACCTTGAGCCTGGTGAGATTTGAACTCGCACTAATTGCAGGCAGCTGGCAGCCAAGTGCTAGCACTTAACAGCACTTAGTCCACTGCTCCACCGAGGCTTATATTATTGACCTTTTTACCAAAGGTGCCCTCCTCTTCCTCTCCTGCTTCTTCAAAGTCCTCCTTTCACTTCCATGTCTGGTCACAGGGAACACCACAGTTTGTGTGATTCTGAGCTTTGTGGGTAGAGACACAGCCCAGTGTCTGAGCATCTTCTCCGAGGCCTTTGTGGCTGCTTTGCTGGGGGTGGGAGGGGGGCATCTGTGGGGGTCTTTCTGGGCTGCTGGTCCCTTTGGTGAACGGTCCAGGCTCTCGTGCAGAATTCACAAGGCTCACATCATTGGAGGGCCTGCTTTAGAAGAAGGCGGGACACCGAACAATGGAGAAACAGGAGATTTGATAGGTGTTTATAGGGACACGAAGTGGGAAACTCTGGCCATTTGATGGGCTGGCAGCCAATTGGCCCCTTCATGGGGGAGGTGGAACCTTTAGACAATGGGTGTGTCCCAGGGGGAGGGGGTGGAACCTTGGGGCTTCAGAGCTGGTCACTCTATTCCCCCCCCCCACTTTCTCAGGGCTATACTAGGAAGGTCTCTTTAGAAGTATAGGATCTCCCGCTCGAGTGTTGGAGCATTCACAACTTCTGGAGGAAAGTCGTTCCACTGATTAATTGTTCTAACTGTCAGGAAATTTCTCCTTAGTTCTAGGTTCCTTCTCTCCTTGATTCGTTTCCACCCGTTGCTTCTTGTCCTGCCCTCAGGTGCTTTGGAGAATAGCTGGACTCCCTCTTCTTTGGGGCAGCCCCTGAGATAATGGAGCACTTTGCTGGATCTGTTTTTTTCATCACACAGACGGCTGTGAAGGTGAGCGGGCATCCCCTCAGCCCCGTGGTCTCTTTGGTGGAACCTGTGATTTTAATATTCTGGACTTGACTTTCGCCATCTACAGATTGTGTAATTGTGAATTGATCCGTTCTTAACATTTATTTTTAGATCAATGGCAAATAAGAACTTGCGGTGACCTCAGAGCAATTGGTGGACGTGCAGAGCGGCAAAATATTTGTGTTGCCCGACGTGCCCTTCCCCAGGGGAGGCCTCACTCACGTTTGTGGCAACTTTACGGAATCTGGTCTCAAAGGTGCTTTTTTTTTTCT